ATTGTATTGACTCGTTATAACGATAAATCGATAGTATTCATTAGAAACTTTTAATAGATTTCTTCTTATCAATGAATTTCATAATGACTACTTTTCAGAAATTTTTTTCTTTTGATTGATCAAAACGTAATTTCTAGAAAAGAATTTGATTCCATTAAACTGTAAATATCTTTTGAATACAAGCGCTTTTTTTTGTTCAATTGTACAAATGATTATTCTTTTTCTTTTTCAAGATCTCAATTTCTCAATAGTAGAAATTTGAAATTTCACATTGCGTTTGATACTCAAATAAAACTCGAAGGCCATCTTTTCTTCTAACAGTATAGTAAGAAAAAAAAAATAAAGAATAGGTACTTTCGTTATTGACAATGATTTACTGTTAGCCTTGCTTTATCGTCTAGTATCTAATACAATCACTGTTTTAATGTATACCTTGACAATTTATTTTTTTTTTGCAGTTATCAAAATACTCTATCAGAATCTGTTTGTAATGGTATTGATACAACTGAAGTGATGAAGTATTAGTTCAATAAACATCATTGTCAAGAGTGGTAACATATTACTTTCTCTAATTCGTCGCTGTGACTTGTATTTAGGCTTTCAAGAAGATAATTGACTTTTATTTGCACGTGTGTTTGAATGCAATACATATTTATTAATTAAGAAAAAAAAAGAACCAATCGTTTACAAGTGTAGCGATTATTATCAATTTCTTAGTTTCGATAGTTTCTGATTGATACATACAAGAGAATTGAATGAGAGAATTTTTAATACATTTAAACACAATATATTCAAAACTTTTGTTTTTTTCTTTTTAAGAAAGACTCCGAAAAATTAATGTTTGTATGTTTGAAAAAAAAACTTTAGGTTAAAATCGTTTTAAACAACTTCCTGAAAAGTTTAACAATGGATCGAAAATTTCATAAAACAATCATATCTTCACAAAATGAATTTTGCAATTTTTATTATATCACAAAGCATAGATTAATATTTAGAGACATTCATTCAACAAATAATTTTTTTTGTCATGTGTTTTCCATTAACTTACAGCAATCTATTCTAATGAAATTCTTCACGAATAGTGGGAAGACTAGTGATAAATTTAGGAGAATTATCATAGTAAAAACATGATCTTGGATACTTGCTCAAGTCAATTGGCTGTCTTTACTGAAAGCAATCGAAAAAATTTTCAAACAATGGAGACAATCATTGTCAGTAGTCCTTCAATAAGTATGATGGTAGAATATGATTCTAAAATGCAAGAATATTTAATAAAATGAGATAATAACATATTCGAGAAGAACAAAAGATGATAACGATCTTCTTTTTTCTCTTGATTACTGGCGCCCTCGTTTATTAACTTCTTATGAACTGGTTCTATCTTATAACAAATAGATTTTGAGAATCTTTATATCAATGACAGATAAAATTTGTTCGTCTTTTTTTATTGTACTAAACATTTCGAACTATCATGTCAGGTCTTTTCAATCGATTAAAAAGTCGAAAAGTATTACAATAAAAACTTTCTCGAATAGTATTTATATTACTTGCTTGGTTTTTTTTAAAATTTTTAGTCTGTATCTCATCATACGAATAATAATGAGAATGAATCAACAACATCAGCACCTGCGTTTGATGAAGAAGTTTGTTCTTCTTTAAATAAAATTTTTCTATTATATTTTTGTTTTACATTCAAAAGGGTTTTCTTTGTCCAATTTGTCATCATAAATTTAATGATCATATAAGTCTTGAACAACATTATACACAAACTCATGCACAAGGACTTATAGTGAATGATGAAAATACAAATAATATGAAAAATATACTTGAACAAGAAGAAAGACAAATTAAAAAAAATAATAATAAATAAAATCTAATTCGATTATTTGTTCTAGGAGGAATCTAATAGAGACATTGCTATATTGAAACAACAGTTTATTGTATCAGAAGAAAGTCGAGTTATATGTAAGTATGCTTTAAAAATAGTTTCATTTGAAAGAATATAGGTTGTTTTATTTATCTTGACTATTGTAAAAGTATCAAGTTTCCATTTATGTTTGTGTTTTATAGATAAAGAAATAAAATGATATAGGACGTATTTCACTGAATTATAAAACAATTAAACTATATATAGATATATATATATAATAATTTAATGCTTAAGTTTTATATGTATAAATCATTTTGAAAATATTTTACAAAGATTTTAAATAAAATGTTTAAAATCATGATTTTTATTCTGAAATAAAATTGTTCTAATTATCATTTCGTCTCATTTATATATAAATTTTGATTAATTTTCATATCGAATAAAATAATGACATTAGCATATTTATCAAAATAAATTACATGGAACCAGACACATATATCGAAATCATTAAAAAATTGAATTTTCTAATAATATCGAAGTTTTTATCGTTTCATATCTCAGGCGTCAACTTTATCAATAAACATTTTTGCAATTAATCACAAGGAATATTATAAATATAAAGAGAGAGTATCTATTACTTGACTATAGCATTCGTGTTTTCGATTGTATGCATGAGAAAAGTTCAATACTCTTGAAGTTGAAGATCTTTTCTTCGAAAAAAAAAGTCAATATTCGTAAAAAACATGAAAACTGAGATAAGCGCATAGGATGATAGTCCGATGACTGCTCTTGAAAAAATGGCACGATTTTTTATTTAGTACCTCATTTTTTTTTCAAAAATTTCCGTCATTTTCGACTGAAAAAATAGAGTTTTTCAGATAAAGTGGAAAATCTTTTTTGTTTTTTATCAGTTTATACTTTTTTTGATCATGCAATTCAGAATTCTCGAAGAATCTTCATTCTATATATGTAATTTTTTTTTGCTTGAAAGAACATTTCAGGACACAAGTGCAGCACAGAGTTCTTTTTTAAAATTAAGCTTTATTTTTATTATATATACAAACATTTATATAAATAGAGACCTATTTTTCGAGAGTTTTTGGAGTCATTGAACTTGCCATACCTTCCCTCCGCTTAAAAAGTAAGAATTTAAAGAAAGGACTCTGTACTGCACTCCATTCTGACATATTCTGTTAACCAAAAATAAAAAAAATAATTAAATATATAGAATGAGTCTGAATAGAGAAATTTGGTTTGCCAAATGAGCTACTTTTACGCTTGTCTGGTAAATATCTCTGTCAAATATCGTGGTACAGGGTTGAAAATATTACCAAAGCTTCTCCACTACAGCTCCAATATATTCTTGAAATTTCAGGCCATTTGAATGTGCCTGGCACGAAATCAGTTTTTGAGGGAAGGCCTTAAAAGATTTCAATATATTTGGTTTTGTAGGAAAATATTTTCAACATGAAATCAAGCTCTTGGAAATACTAACGAGGAAACTACTCCAACTGTAACTCGCCGCTTGAGCTCACAAGATAGTCTTGGTAAGACTAGAAAAATCCATATAGATAGGTATAACGATCCTTGAAATATCAGAAAAGTTTCAGTCGAAAATAAGTATTGAATTTCCAAATGAACTCAATTTTTCTGACATATATTCGAAAGGTCATTGGACCTATCTATGGGCTGAATTTTAGGTCGAAAATTAAATAAAACCATGATAACTTGATTCTAGAGACCCGTGGATACGAATTCCTTTAGCATTTTTTCTAGTCTTACCGAGAATTCCTTGTGGGCTCAATATCAGTGCAAACAGCGGATTACAACTCAAGTAGTTCTCTCGTTGGCTCACTTATAGACTCTAGTGAACTATGTCTACCAGAAAAAGAGTTTGTACTTATGTCCTGTTTCTGAAAACAGCGAACATCTTTAGTGAATTTTTGCTTTAGGATCCCATTTTATAGAAAGACTATAATTTTTCGATTTTCATCCTGAAACTTTGCCCATACAGAGATATTGATGAGACTAACTTACATCAAAAATTTTAGAAGTTTCGAAGCAAGTCTTTCCGAGATATGAAGCCTTCAAAAAAATATATATATGCTATCTATGAAAGAGGACGTTTACCTTGCAGTTGCAGACCATAATTCGAAAATATGGTCTTACTACACATGCGAAGTTCTTCAGGAAAAATTCACTACTAGGGTTCGGTCTCCTGAAAAAGAGGTCACAAGTACGAACTCTTTTTATTCCAGACATAGTTCACTAGGATCTATAAAATCTACAAAGTTCAGATTGAAAAGCGAATCAACACCTAAGAATGTTTCCTTGTAAGTAATCGTTATACTAGAGAGAAAATAATATCGTATTCATTCAAAGAGGAAACAACAGGCTTCAAAAATTTTTCTCCGTCAAATATTTTAATTTATGCTATTAGAAAATTGAAGTTAGCAAGCTAAAAACTAATTTTTTTTTTGTAGTGAGTACCGAATTAATGCAACAAAAACAACGTGCTGATGATCTTGAAGAAGAACTTCAATTATTACAAAAACATTTAAAAGCAACGCAAACAAAAGTAGCTGAACAAGTAAATATTAATAAAAATATAAAATTTCTTTCTTTTAATATATCAATCTTTTAGTCTCAAGAAATTGCTAATTTAAAAGCAACAAAAGATATCTATGATGCTCAATTTGCTAATTTTACAGATGAACTTCTTAATACACAAGTTAATATCAAAATCATTTTATTTAACAAAAAGAAAAAACAAACTAAAACGTTCAATTTTTAGGCTCAATTAAAAGAAAAAGATCATCAAGTAGCAACTCTATGTGATGATCTTATTCCAAGGTAAGTTATTAACTTTAAACAAAGATAAGCATCTATTGATTCTCTCATTCAAAAAATGTCATATCTTTTTTTTTTTATTAATTTTATATCCATATAGTTTGTAAGTATAATAGTAGTTCTATACCTTATATGTTATATTAAATATATTCACATGCATGTTAGCTTTTTTTGTCATATGAACATAGTTTCGGTTTTTTTTTTTAATATTATTTTTTGTTGTTAATTCTTAGATCGACAAATGATGATGTTGATGTACTTAAACGTGAACTTATTATAGTTCAACAACGTATGGATGAAATATCATTAGAAAAAGAACAAGAAATTGAAAAATTACGTTTTGCTTTAATGGAAAAGTTTGTTAAATATTTAAATGAAATATAATTTATATTTGTTGTTTCTTTTTCTTTTTTTTTATAATTAGTTATCAATATACAGAAAAATTAAATCAATTAGAAAATATATTTAATCAAGTAAATTAATTTTTCATGTTGTTTTATTTTTTTCATATTAAAATAAATTTGATTTTATATAGAATTTATTAATCTATAATGAAATGATCAGTGAAAATACATCTCAAATTGAAATTGGAATTAATGAAATAAAACAATTTATTAAATTAACTCGCGAACGAAAAGAAAAATTTGAGATAGCCATAAAATATATGCGTAATTGTCTTACAGAGGTAAGTCATAAGACGATATCAGAATTTTGTATCGGATCAAGTTAGTAAAACGAACCAATTCGTCACTAGAGGCATCAATTACAGTAGCCGCTTCTTATGGTTGGTTGTATATGTGTGTTAATTGCACACACGTAATCGATAATACATAGGCATCGTTTAAATTATCCTGCAGAGAAGATCATTAGGCATGTGCAGTTACACTTTAGTGACCATCTACTAGAGTCCGTTGGGTCGATCATAGACCTGACGGACTCTAGTCGTCTAAGAAATGTGTACGACGCGCTCGTTATCGAATACAAAAACCGGGGAAAAAAGTATCTCATATCTTCGGGACAAATATCCAATTTCGATTACAAAATTTCATTGAGAGTATCAAAGTACGGTTCGACAATTTTGGACCCGTTGAGCTCTACTATCGGCATCATCGACTCGGTGTAGTTAGTACACACTAACGCCAGTGTTCATTGAAATATTGAAACATACCACTACTAAAAGGGTATATTCTGATAGAATTGGTATCTCAATGTTCCAGCGAACGCGGATGTCAGTACTACAGTAGACACTGGATCGGTGACTCACAGTTCAGTATTTATACCAACACTGCAATCCTTATAGAGGACTTGTCGGATTTATCAATCCGATCCGATGCAGGATTCTAGAAGGTAGATGTTAAGATAGTTTAAGCATTAATTCCATATTCAACGCAAAATGATAATCTATGTTTTTTTTTCATATGGAAACAAACTCAACATTTCTGTTTTTATAAAATATCTAAAGAATGAATTTTTAATTGATGAATAAATAGAAATCTGGTTACATTATTCAGCAGTTATGTGATTTAATAATTTTCTCCATAAGATGTGAAACATCATATATAAATCAATGGACTTTCTTTATAGTTTTTCATATGTTATCTGAAAGTCCCACCGAGTAAAAGACCGTAAGTTTTTTAGGAGTTCAGCGAGTTTTAACATCTAAAAATCCAATTTCTAAGTAAGATATCATTTTTTTTGAGTTAAAACTTCGATTTTTTTCTAATATAAAAAGTGTTTTTCTTAGCAAAAGTCCTGATTTTCGGGCGCCTATTTGCATACCAGAAGGATTTTTCAAAATTTCTTGATTTCTAGATAAATGTGATCAAGAAACAATAGCCTGGAATAGAAAACCCCATTTGAAGGAACGATGTGAGTTTCCATAATATAAAGCCATGGTATTTGTTCTTGAAGGAAGGCAAAGATGGGATTGGTTCAGATGTTTCAAAAATTTAAACCAAACCGAAACCAAAGTTGATTTGGGATACTGCAAACTGAATCGATCCCTTCTCTAGGTCGGTGGGGAAAGTTTAGCGATAAATTTGTCAAGTAATAATTTATCTTTAACTCCTATCTAAGTTTTGAGAAATAATTCCGCATGTAAAACAATAAGTCTAGATGAACAGATACTATCCCATGCATAATTATCATAAAATTCCTTCCCAATATTAGAAATTATGATAAAGTGAAAGATGTTTTTTTTTTATATTTTCTTATTTATACAATATTAAACTACTTTTATTTAGAATCAAACTCAAATTGAACAACTTCAACAAACAAATATTCAATTAAATAATGAACTTGAACAACGAGTCGGTAGATTTACTTATTTTTTTTGCTAATCTTACTTTTTTTTGTTTTTTATTTACAAGAAACAATTCAATGATAAATTAAGTAATGATTTACAAATTGAACAAAAACAAACAAATTCTTATCGAAATCAAATTGAATCATTAACTAATGAAATTCATGAATTAGAAAAAACATTAAATGAATTACAAAATGAAAAAAATCAATTAATTCAAACTAAATTTGATGGTGATGAAAATGATGAAAGACAAAATTTTGTTCGACAAATAACACAAGAAAAAGTAAATTTATTTATTTATTTATTTGAATTTAATTAATTTTTATCTTTAAGAATCAATATGAACAACAAATAAAAGAATTTCGAATACAAATAAAACAAATAAATAATGAACGACAACAAATTCAAGATGAATTCGATCATGTTTCCAAACAATATTCACAAATAACATATGAAAAAGTAATATTAAAATATATTTATTTAGAAAAATTTTTATTTTATTTTATAGAATCAATTAGAAAATGATCAAACACGACTTAATCATGAAATTGATTTACTTAGAAAACAACTAGACGATAATAATAAAGATAAAGTATGATAATCAATAAGATGCCTCCATTGATTATTTTAATTCCCTATCTGGATTTGAGCTACAGGGCTTAATATTATAGAAAAAAATCAAAAATACATTGTTGTTAAACTTTTTTTTCCTATCTGAAATAAGACGAGTGTTACTCATGCAAAATGCCTACCACAGAAATATTTCTTCTCCTGACAGTGGCTTCCACAACATTGAAGAACCTGAGGATGAGTGTGAAAGTGAGTTAACTTTTTGGCTAATAACAGTTCTCACAACATGCCATTGGAGAAGTAATGTCACTGGAGTTATTATCATAGATTCTTTAACTCAATTATAGTTCAGAACCTGAAAACGAACGAAATCTTTTATGAAACACGATCTAAAAGGAACGTTGAATTGTAGGAATAACTTTTGGATCTAGAGACCATGACAAACGTTATCGATATACCATCAAAGACCTTATATCAAGAACGTGTCGTTCTAATATATGAACTACTTTCTTATTGCATCTCTGTAGGATTAAGTAAACGGATGGCGAAGAAATGTATCCCAAAATAGATAGAATAAAACAATCTCCTTATGATTAGCAGCAGCTCCATTGTGTTTCACATTTTAGTGCCATAGAGATTGTCCTAACAGCTTTTTGAAATAAGTTTAATTCGATTAAATGCCTAATAATTATAAAATAGAAGGATAAGATATTTTCAAGTAAGATAGTACTCTGATATTAGAATCGTATTGTTTTCTCAGACAAATCTTGATTGAAATTATTTATATGATTTATTCTTTTTGATATGAAATAAAATCTATTTTTACTTTATTTTTTATGTTCAAAACAGATTGAATTTCAGTATTTCAATTCTTTATAGATTTTTGTTCTTTAACAAATGATGTCTTTCGACGTATTACATTTCATTGTTATCCAAAAACTCGAGTTTGATTCTTATTAACTAATAAGCATAAAGATAAATTTCGTATAATCATTTCAGTTTGAAGAACATATAAGATTTAGCTTATAGATAAATGTCTACAATAATTTTTGAATTCTTTTCGGCCTGTTAATAAATCAATTTCAATAGTTGTTTTTTTCTTTTATTTGTATCTCTAAGGAACAACAAATAAACGAATTAAAACATGAATTGTCAACTGTACGTAAACAATATACGAATATAGAAGCAAATTTTCAAAAAGCGAATGAATATAATAATAATCAAGTAATAAAAAATAATTAATTAATTAATTTTTTTATTTCATCAATTTTAGAAACAAGAAATCGAACGATTGAAAAATGATTTAACAGAACAAAATCATCGATTAGAACATGAGAAAAATGAATTAAAACAAACGATTAATCAATATGAACTAATAAGTACTGAAATTGAACTACAATTAACTACGATTCAAAACGAAAAAAATAATATTGAACAACAATTACAAACGCAACAACAAGTAATTGAACAATTAAATATGAAACTAGATCAAAAGGTATTAAACAAAAAAAAAATACTTTTAATTATAAGCCTTGCTTTGTTTTTATTATATTAGGATGATTATATTAAACGTTTATCGGCGGGTATTCATCGTGCACATAAAATTTATCAAAATCTTCAACAAAATATTCATGCTAATCAAATGAATCTATTGACTATTATTGAACAGGTGATTGTAAATAAATTTAATGGAAAACTAAAAAGCTAAGAAGACATTTATGTTAAATATCAATGTTGGATGTAGAAGTTGTTAAACTTCTTCGCACAATAGAAGATCCCGAGATTTCTATTTTCATAATTCTGGATTAAAAGGTGTTTTTTCTAAACACTAAAAAGATATTTAAAGTTTTAAAAGAGTTGAAATGATATTGATCTCACGAGAGAATTTATTCAAGTGTCCGATCGCTTTTTGATCAAGACTCTACTCAAATGATAAGCTATAGTGGGTAGTGTCAAAGCTTAAGATAGTTGGATTCTGTGAGCTTTTGTTCTTGACATATCAAATTTTTACTGGCTTTTTTAACGGAAACCTGTAGTTCTGATCAGATCACTATGAAAATCGAATTTTGATTTGAAATTTTGCATAAATAAACTTCTCAATGATATTAGTTCATTGCAAAAGTTTCACTGCTTTCCATATGTCCTACTTTGAGATATGAATGATCAAAACTCTGTAATAAAAAACAAAAATAATCATTCTTCGTATGCTGATGGCTCCAGATGCGAACCATCAAAACCAGTGATACTTTCATAGCGAATTAGTATCGTTGAGATATTTACATTCGAAAGTCGATGTTGAAGACGATTTGACGATGAGCCTGACATCTCATTAAAATAGTCATAATTCAACAAAAAAGACTCATAGATATCAACCCTTTAAGTTTTTTTTTCTCTCTAATTTAGGTATTACTAACGAGATTTCCTTATAAGATGAATTTTTATAAAAAATTTTCTTAAACTCAGATTGATCTACATCTATTATACCTAACTGAAATTGAATAGTCAATGAAGATCAAAATTAGTTTTCATTGGATCCCAACAGTCGACCATCGTGACAAAATTAGAATACTCTTTAAAATGTTCTTTTTTTTTTAGGCTGAACAAGAGTCTCACACAATTCGTGCACAAACACTAGAACAAATTCGTGAAGAATTTACTAATTATTTAACTATTGTTCATACAATAATTACTGATAGTAAGGTGAAATTTATTGATCATTTTTTTTTATAATTAAATCTATTTTATAATATATGAATTCTTTTTTTCTCTTTTAATAGACCAAATTAGAAAAACAAACTGAAATAGATAATTTGAAATTACTCGAACAACAACAACAAACAGAAAAACAATTGAATACAGTCAAACATGAATATGATAAATTAATGAAAGAATATCAGGAACAAAAACAAAATTTTGAAGTACAATTAGGCGAACTTAATCATAAATTATTACAAGTATTAAACTAACTTCGCCTTTATTTTAAAATAGAACTGAATTAAGAATCTGATTCCAAAAAAAAAGCAAAAAAAAAATTTCAATTAATCAAATAAATTTTTTGTATGCAAAAAGTATTGTAACAAAAGATGCACAATGTCAGTTTAGATCCCAAATCGGAATCTTATCTACAAGACCGTGACTAAATAAAATACAAATATGAGAACTGAAGTAACAAAGAAAACTTTTATGAGACTGAAATCAAAAAGGATACTAAGATAATAGTTATGGAAGATAAAATGATCAGAAGTATTAAAATTTGATCTCATTTATCTCTAACTCAGTTCTTGTAATGACTAATAAATAGTACATAATGGATTTGTCAGACTGACACTTTATATAGCATTTGTGTACTAGTATCTGAAAGTAACGATATAAATTCTCCAGAAAACCACAGAACAATCTTATTGAAAGATATAAGTATTTCTCTTTTGCTACGAAGATTAATGAGGGAAGTCTTCCAAATGATTAACCCTTTTGAACCGAGCTTATGTGCTTTATCTAGGCTTAAACGAGCTATGAATATCCAGGAAAGAATTCGTACTCTCATCTTATTGCTGTGACGATACTGCACGTTTACGGTATTTTATTAAATAAACGCCGTGATAACAGAAAAACTGATTTTCAAATTTCGACTTAAATCTTTCTATAGAGACAAGTCTAGTTTTTTTATGAATGTTTCAGATATTGCCGCTGTTCCTATCTTAAGATACAACTATGATAGATAATAGCGTTTCTTTTATATCGCTCATATAAACCGACAGGTTTTATGTTCTTATTTCAGAATTGAAGCAATAAAAAAAAATCTGAAACTACACTCCGAAAAGCAGTTTTTCCGTTACTATGGTATTGATTTTAAAAATATTGTCAAAGAACAATATCTCAGCGACAATAAGCTAAGTGCATGAACTTTTTTCTGGCTATTCATACCTCATTTAGATCTACATAATCCACATAGTGTCGATTCAAAAAGCGATTTATCAGTTGTAGGATTAGTAAGCAAAACTAGGAACTTTATGAAAGATTAAGAATTAAATCAGAAAAAAAGCGTATGCATGATATACTTTTCTCATCAGCAATAGATTAATTCTATTAAATATAATTTCATCATATTTTTCTACTTTTAGGTTTCAGAATCATCATCTAATGCTACTCAAAGCCTAGATCTTCAACGAGAAAAATATGAAAAACAAATTGTAAATAAAATAAAATAATTTTCAAATAAATTTTAATTTATTATTATTATTATTATTATTATTAAGAATTCATTAGAATATGAACTTGAATCACGAACTAAAAAACATGAAATGCAACTATCTGCATTAACAGAAAATTTAGCTACTGTACGAAGTGAACTTCGAACAACTAATGAAAAATTATCAAATGTTGAACAAATTAAATCAGAAAAGACTGGTTGGTTTATTTGAAAAAAAAAATATTTTTTTTATATAATATTTCAAGTTATTCTCATATATTTATAAGATATTGAAGCACGTTTAATTGTAAGTCAAGATGAACGTCGTGTTTTATTAGAACGATCATTAGCAAATGAAAATAAATATGAAAAACTTATATTTGAAAATAATCAATTAACAAAGAAAAATATTGAATTGGAATCAGCTTTACAAGAAATAGCTCGAGAATATCAAGTTCTTCAAGTAAGAATTAAATTATTATTATTCAATAATTAAAAAAAAAAAATTTTTTTTCTTTTTCTGATTTATTTAGATTCAAACAAATACATTAAATCAACGTCGTTGGTTAAATGATGATGATGTTCATGCATGTAGGAAATGTGATCAAATATTTACAGTTACACAACGTAAACATCATTGTCGAAATTGTGGAAATATATTTTGTGATAATTGTTCATCAAAAACAGCTGTTGTTGCAGCATCATCAAAAAAACCACAACGAGTTTGTGATCAATGTTATAAAGACTTGACTTCATAAATTGGAATAATTCATTTATTTATTTTTTTGATGTTTGTTTGTTTGTTTGTTTTTTTACATTTGATCTCTTTACAATTAATGAAAATAAAATTATATCGAATCTATTCAATGAGAACTTGTATAAATAATCAATATTAATTAGGTGTTAATGATTATTGAATTTATGGAAAATATCTGGCAAGGAAACTTCGCGAAGTAAAAAATCGCTCATTATCTAAGCTCTAGGAAAGCTAGAAAAATTGTAGAATGGTTTTTGTGCCTAGGGGTCTTCCTTCTTGAGTTCGAGCTATTTTACTGTGTTTTTGACTGATCGTAGAGTGCTGAAAGTAAAATAAAAAGATGATATTTCGATGTCGCCTCCTGTACTCTACAAGGGGTCAAAAACACAGTTGCATGACTGGAACTCAAGAAAGAAGACCCATGGACACCACTTATTCTGCAATTTTTCTAGTTTCCATAGAGCTTCACTTCAAAAGAGATTTATCACTTTGTGAAGTTATCTTATTAATGCATATTGTAAATCTTAGTTGTTACAGGCATGTTGTTCACATACCCTCACATCGCTTCAGCTGTTA